AAGACGAGGAACACTTCCCGGACGTGGTGGGTGGCCCTCGAAACATTGAAGGAAATGGAGGACTGCTTGAAGAAGTTGGACAGTGGAATAGCTCGCAGGCGACGCAATTGGGCCACCCAGCAAAAAGCCGAGGTTAATAAGATAGAGATGGCAAGTCATCTGAAGAGGTCCTGGCAGAGTTTGTTGAAGGATCATTTTGAAGAGGCGATGAGGACATCCTCATCAGCACCGCCACTGATGGCGAACCCCTTCGTTAGAACTGCGGGACAATTAATGTTCACCTGGAGTCTGGTGGGAATAGAGTTGGAGACATTGACCTCGTATGACAGGCTGAAGTTGGGAAGCAAGAAGCTAGAGGTGTATCAGGCACTGATGCAACACGTGGCCAGGGACAATTCAGGCTTGAGCCTGGCTAGAAGAAAAGATGCCACATGTTTCTTGAGATGGATAATGTCAATGATGTCTGATAGCACCATCCTGGCATGCCACCAGAGAGCAAGTGGAAGTAAAACCATGGAGAGAAGAGTCTCAACGATCATCTTAAACGTATATCAGAGTACAGGAATAGAGAAAGAAGATGGTTCCAGACTATCCTTAGAGAACCATCGAAAGCTGGACGAGGTACGGAGGTGCTCTAATAAGAAGTTCGAGGAAGAACATGATGTTCACCGTAACCTGGCCTCGTCAGAACAGTACTCGAGACTCAGTGAGAAGGGGGAATACCAATATGTGTCTGGAGTGATGGGAATAGCCTACAATCCCTTCTTAGACTCGGAAGCTGGAGGAGCCCACAGAAACCATGAGGTAGCGGAGCTACTGAAGTTTTGGACAGAAAGAATAATGGAAATAGACGCGGTGGAAAAAGAGGGGCCGAGCCTGGGCCTGATTCTTGAGAAAACACCAGAGGTGATAAGCATACCGCGCTCAAACAAGAGAGTTGAAGTGAACATGGGCGGTGGAAATGGCTTGTTAACCACGAACTTGGGAGTGATATGGAAGCTACTAAGACCCTCCTGGTGTCCACATCCCCATGCGAGTCTAATCGAGGAAACCACCGAGCGAGTGAGGTTAGCACCAACGGAAGATGAAGATCTGGCGAAGTTGAGTGTGCTACATAAGCTAATCACGCCCCAGATGCAAGAGCCAAGCGAAAGGACGAGCGACCCCGGGTCAGCAAAGAAATTGGAGCCGGGTAGCTGTCTGGATTCGACGTGTGGGAACGGAGAGCACATCTGCGATGGACGGTCATGCGTCAGAATACTGTCGTTTCAAAAAGAAGACCTGGTCACTTGGTTCGAAGACATCACAGAAAGGGAGAAAAGTGAAGTGCAAATAATAGCGGAATGTTACGCGAGAACCACGGTGAATATAGCGACAGCTCTCGGATTCTTCTCGAGAATGTGTGGTCTGCAGGCACTGGAGAGACTGGAATCTGAACATCATTTAGTGACGGCGTTGAGCGTAGAATCATGGCCCGGGGTGTTGCAGGTGACTCAAAAACACATCCGGAGCTGGAAGGTTGGTCTTGAGGCGGAAATGGGATTTCCCATGAGCGAAGCTTATGGCTTGCCATTGAACGCGAAATCGCTGATAGGGTCAATGATGGCCAACTTGTGCGGAAGTCACTACCCGCTACACATGGCGATGGTGGAAGTGTCCAGCCAGAGAGTACTGGTGGACAAGGCCTTCTCAGTGCCCAAGTGCGTGAGGTTGGCTCGGATGTCGCATCACTCGCACAAGTTGTTGAGAAAAATCAAAGGGACAGTACCAAAAGAATTGAGAGATGACTTAAGCGAAATCTGGGGAGAAGATCTTCTGAAGTTGGAAAGAGAAAACACGAGCGATCACGAGAGACAAAACGTGATCGGGAAACCTGTGGGAAGTACTCCGAACCTGGAAGACAACGACACGATGCACGAGAAAATGATGGAGCTTGAGCCTCTCTTGGAAGCCTCAGGGGAGCGTAATCTCAGGAGCATTGAGATCTCTCATGGGGAATGCCCATGCCACTGTTTGGCACAAACGGTGTGGTATCCAGATCACAAGAACCTTTGCCTGGTGTGGGATGTGGAAGAGATTCGGTCGATCGGACTACCGGATCACCGGCAGAAGGTGACGCTCTTAGTAGTGAGTACGATGTTAGCTCTGAGATGGATAGAAGAGAATATAACGAAGTATCGGGAGGCGACGACGCCAACGGCTGAGTCAATATACGCGATAGACTACAGCAGGAGACTCGAGTTGTTTGAGACTGCGTGCAAAGTATTCGCCATACCGACGGAAGTCAGGCACGTATGGAGTCGCTTGAGGTACTTTCCATGGTTTCGGGCGACACTGACGTCTTGGTTGTACATGACAACGAAAGATCACATGAGAAAACATCAAAAAGAGTATCGACAGTTCCAGGCCGAGATTGGGCCGGAAGCTTTCAAGAGACCCCTGCTAACCCATCGTAATGCGATCACGACGGGATGGAAAAGAGTGAGTAAGATGTCTAGAGACAATACCAAAGCGAGGGAGTCGATACTAGAGGAAGACCTGGCGAAGAACGTGAGCTTGAGCCTGCACAACTCCTTTTGCTTGAACCGAGAAGCTAGGGTGAAGGCACTACCCAACCAAGCAAAGAGATTGCAGGAGCAGAGAGAATGGATGCGATCCTATGAACAGCTGAAGGCTTGGGAGGAGATTGTGATTAGTTCCGATGATGAAGAGGAACTGTTGAGACAGTTTGCCGCATCTAGCACTTCAGGATGCAGTACCTCCAAGGCGAAGAGTACGAGATGAATGGGCAAATCGGATGGATCTTGAGTCTTGAGAGGGAAGGGAGGCTTGAGCGTGGATCCGAGTGAAACTTGGATTCACAAAAAAGAAATTTTAACAAAGCAAATATTGTTACTAATATACTATATTTATTATATAAATCGAAATGCTGCATGACAATTTCCTGATTGAATAGGACAAAAGAGATTTTAAAATGATTGGCTTGAAAAGCGAAAATTCAAGGGTGCAGGTGGATGCAGATTTTGGTTGCTGTTTAGCAATAGCGTGAAAATTTTAAATGGCTGTGAATTTTGGGGTGTAGATAAGCTTAAATCTGCTGCAAACTTCTGTAAATGACCACTGGCACTGTATCTTGAGCAACACTCGGTTTTTCTGGGACTCACTGGCAGAAGACAGCGCGCGATGAGGACATCGATCTCGAGTCCGGGGAGTATGTGCCAGTCGGTCATGTTTGGAAGTTTGACCTTGAGAGAAGCAAAAAACACTTGATTTTGGAGTGAAATTTAATTTTTCAAAATTTCGAATGGAGCCTGTCATGCACGATTTTCTCGCGAGAACTGAAAATCAGAAAAAGAGATCAGAACAATTTCAGAACAGTTGAATAACAATCGCGGGAAAGTTGCTAGAAAAATCGGTGGGAAATTACTATTCGCAATTTCAATAGCAATAATAGCCTAGAGTAGAGCTGTCCCATCTGAAACAGAGACGAGAGCATTCCCACGAATTGGATTGTTACGATTGGAATACTATTATTGACTGGACCAGAGTGAACCTTCGGTGGAAAGGTGGACAGCTAGAGTGTCCCAATGGTTCACGAGAACTTGCAGTCTAGAGTAAAAACTTGTTCTTGTTGTTAAAACTGACTAACATTAAACTCATATTAGTTACTTTATTGATTCTTGAGTTGTTTACCGACTTATTTACTTCCTGGTTCTTGAGCGTGCTACAATGTGAGTACTTAATTTAAATTCCTAGAGTGTGTTTTATAATTGTTATGTTGAGGTAAGGCGAGTTTTAGGTTGATCCATCTGAAATGGATCAAAGTTCCACTGTCTAATAAAAAGTAACTTAACGGATTGTTCCAACCCGGTTTTTAATGGCGTTCATGTATTTTGGGTATCTAGAGACCTAAGTATGGGGACGTTTCTAATTCTAGAGTGGGGGGATATTTTAGTAGTAGCCTTTAAGCTGTAACGGGTCGTGGTCTCATGTCACAAGCGAACCGAACTGGCTCCGACCGTTCTTGAGGTAGAAAAACACAAGAGATAGTGTCCCTGACCCTTGAGCCAGTGGTTATAGGGCCTATTTTTCTTAAGCCTCATGTGTGACTGCAGTAGACGAATGTTACAATGGTTTTGAATATGGCGGAGCAAGGTAAATTTCAAGTGTAAAGATTCATGGCAAGCTCAAATTGATGGTCCAGCAATTGGGGATTCCCTCCCTGTAATTCTTGCAAATCAGATGGAAAAAAGAGAAGTTAAATTTACCTGCAATGAAAAAAAAATAAAAAAATGCTCTGAAAAAGATCCGTGAATGCAGCTCAGTGGATCACACTATTGTTACATCACCTCAGAAGTTTAAAATCTGGTAACCGAAGTTACTTCACTAGAAGAAATTTTTGTTTAAAAGTAAATTTCAAACGTTTTCGCAACTATGTGCATCGTCAGGATTTTAACTGCATCGTCAGGATAAAGGACTACTTCACTAGTCCTTTATCATTTCACCAAGTCATAATATCATTCGAATTTTATCAAGTAGGGAAAACTGAAGAATAACGTGAGTAAAAGTAAAGAGAGGCAGATGGTTGGAAATCAAGCCAACCAGATTGAGAAAAGTAGTACATTGACAAAACTGACTTTTTGTTATAAAATTCAAAGCAAGCTCTGGGCTCGTTTTCCTCCCCCACTAGCGAAAATTTGCTAGTGTAAGTTGGTTCACATTATCGGATTGTTACAAATATTGGTATGCGGATTAGTTAGGCTATGACAAACATATCACAATTGGTCTCGCTTGATACTTAATCTTGTAAAACCCCTAGTTAAAACTTAAAATTGATGTATATGCGAGGTGGCGGGGGGGGGGGGGGGAGAGTCGAGCTCTTTACAGAAATACGCATCGCTCTCGCTGATTAATTTTTGGTGAAGTGCTCAACTGGACCTCCAAATTAGTAAATTAGGTTTCAGTGAGCCATAAGACTATTCAGTGGCCCTTTCAGATTGCGTGGTTTTTGTCTTGACAGAAAAATTTGAAGATTATTTTTTTCGTCATGAGCTCTAATTCTCACTCTACAGGAGCCGAATTTGGTGGAAGTCAGTCAAGGTTTTTCTGTCACCAGTGCAGAGCTTACATATCACCGTCAAGTGATGAGAACCTAGTCTGTCCGGACTGTAACGGTAGTTTTATCGAAGAGGTAACTCAAGAAAATGCTGCTGATTTTGACAGCGGGGAAGATCCAATGCCACATCCGCATATGGATTATCAAAACGATATTTTTTCTCTTATAAGCGCATTTTTACCGGGTTTTGACGCATCGTTGAATTCTTCAGCTGAAAATAACGACGATGGATTAGCAGCAATGGACACAAACTCTGCCACTGTTAACGCACCTGATGAAGTTGATGCGGCTGGAGCAGGACAGAATAATCCAGGAACCAGTGCTGCTCAAGGAAGCGAACAGAACGATAGACCACATCGATCGAACAGAAACTCAAGATTCCCGCGTGGACCTCCTATTCACAGCCGTGTTTTCGACTCAAACGAAGACATGTCCTCAGTCTATAACAGCCCAACTTCCGTACCCAATGGCGTGCAATTTAACAATGAATCCATACAGCGTCTTATTGACGGGCTCATGTTCCACCAACCTTTCAATGTTGTTACAGTTAACGGCAATCCTCAGGACTATGCTTGGGGACCTGGTGGCTTGGATACTATATTGACCCAAATGATGGAACAGTTGGAAGGTGGTGGACCCCCTCCATTAAGTGCATCGGTAATTGCTGCTATTCCCTCAGTAGAAATCTCCGCCGAGCACGTGAAAAGTGAAAGTGATTGTAGTGTTTGCCAGGAAAAGTTCACATTGAAAGAAAAGGTTCTCAGTTTGCCGTGTGCTCATCTTTTTCACAAAGAATGTATCGAGCCTTGGCTGAAACTGCACAACGCATGTCCTGTGTGCAGAAAGCCCTTAGATGATCCAAACAGTCCTCAAGCTCCTGGAGCTGGGACGTCGGCCTCAGCAAATAGAGCCACCGCTCCAAATTACGAAGATTTAGATGACCCAGACCCGGCTATTTTCAGAAACTCAAACATGTATGGCTAATGAAAAATACTGTAATTATATTTGATCCAATTTGTCAACCTTTTTCAACTGTAAAAACAAATGTAAATTTTTTTGGCTAATTTAAATATCACTTACGCTACTGCTTTTTTAGATTGCGAATAGCTGGAAGATTTGAAAGTCCGATAGGTGAAAAGCTACTATGGATATTTATGAAAAAAAGATAATGTGCAATTCTATAATAGGTACCCTCACTGAAATAGAATCGGTTAAGTTATACTGCACATCGCGCAAAAGAAAAATATTTCCACGGCTTGCGCTTAAAATGCCACAGTGAAAGCCAATTATATTAATCTTGCTAGCATTTTCTACTGAATGTAATGAATGTAATTGTTTTTTTTTTAATTTCAGAAAAAACCCTTGCGATGGTAAGTGCTTTATAATCGGGTATTAGATTTTTTCCGGGCAATTTACGTTTCTTTATGTCATTACCCTTTTCTAATTGCAAATGCGAAACAGTTACGTGAAAGAGTAGTTTTTACAATTACAGTTCTTGTAATCGATTCATTTTTTTCATTTTGAATGGCTTAACTTTGTGGCTTAACTTACTTTATACTCTTTAATTAAGCTGGTTACATCACCAAATAACATGTAAGTTTGACGCGTTTCGATTTATTCATCATCATCAGAAACTGAAATACAAAAACAGTACTGATTATAAATACAGCAACAAAAAATGAACAGAAACATGTAAATAGCTGATAGAATCAGAACGTTGTTCCCGCGCTGCATCTGTTCACAGTTTCAGAGTGAGGTGTCGTTGAGAGTACTCTTCTCTTGTGTTGAGCTGTGACCTTGGGCTCAACTGCGCAATGTAGATAGCTTCCAACGACCACAGTTTGTCTGAGAAGCGAGTCTTGTCTAAGATCTTGACAGACATGACAGAAAATGCTCCCCCAGCGGAGATGTTCGTCGGAGGCGCTCAGATAGCCGAGTGGTGAAATTTCGGCCAATTTTGTCAACATAGCTGGTCCCGCAGCCAGAACAATCAACTTGATAAACCACTCCACTACTGAGCATAGGTGGCACTTTGCTCTTCAAAGATGGCAGCGAGTTCCGTAACGTTTGTGTTATAAACACTAATGGGACATCAGTGACCTTTCTCATTTTCTTAGAGAATCTGTCTGATATACCACCACGATACTCTAAGAACAAAGTTTTCCGGGATTTCTGCCTCTCATCACTTCGCTCCCGAGTTTCTTCTTTCGCTTCTGAGCCCAGTATCTTCGTCAGCGTCTCTGAGATAACTGGACCGTAAAATGACGGTGGATACTGGTTTTTCTCCCAGATCTTTGTGGTTTTTCTGAGCCCTTCGTCAAAATTCAATCAAGAGCCTGTCGCTTGATTGATACGGAGGATAGTACCCTGTATAACACTGGTCTTGTACATGACAGCTTGTACTTGAGCTGGTTAGTTGATTTTTTTACTTCGTCTCAGAATTCTTAAACGATTCCTGTGAAGAAAAAAACGCATACCTTTAAAAATGGATTTGCCCAAATAGTTCGTAGTTCTTTTCATTTTTTGGAATTTTCGAAACTTCTGAGTCTCGCAAGAAGTTTTCAGAATCTTTCTAATCGACATCCACAAGAAAAAAAATTACTTCTACATCATAGAGCATTCACCTTTGTAATTTTTGATCGGACTTTCAGAAAGTTTACGACCGTTTTTTTTCAGCATGAGGTCTTGAAATGCATTTAGAATTGCACTTATTTTTTGCTGTTATTTTTAAACTTACAAACTATCTATCTATTCTATCTATAAATTATTCAATCTATACATTATTTAATTGACATTTCACTTGAGACATGTTTAAGAAAGCATTCGCCCTACAACAGATTTTAAAACGTCGACATGAGTATAAATTTCAACCCTTTCAAATTTTTGGCCATTTAACAGACCAACGTAGCGACTTTTTAAACACAGGGTTAGTGAGACTTAAGCTTCACAATATACGATATAGCTTAAACGTGCTAAAAATCTTTCGTTAAACAAGTAAAAAATAATACGTTCAAAAAGCTTGAATATGTCAACATAGAAACTTGCTAACTATGTCAACATAGGCAGTATGTTGACATACTGAAGAATTTTCTATGTTGACATATTTAAGCTTTTTGAACATATTATTTTTTACTTGTTTAACGAAAGATTTTTAGCACGTTTAAGCTATATCGTATATTGTAAAGCTTAAGTTTCACTCACCCTATGTTTAAAAAGTCGCTACGTTGGTCTGTTAAATGGCCAAAAATTTGAAAGTTGCTGTGAGTGTACACTCAGTATTTGCAACTCTGGCATTCAAGAATGACTGCTGAAATCTTTTGGTTTTCGAGATGCAATTTTTATGTTTTCTATTTTTTTCTTCAAAAAACTTCGATATAAATATGAAGTAACCGATTTTTAAGTTATTTAGTGGGGTGCTGTTAAGGTGCACTTTGGAGTTGCTAAGCTGGTGTCCAAATATGACTCCTCAAATCTATTTGGTTTTCGAGATTTGGCGTTTTCTATGGTTTTTTCAATTTAAAAAAACGTAGATATAAAATAAAGTAACCGAACTTGAGTTTCTCCACCCCATAATGGCGTACTGTCAGGGTACACTCTGGGGTTACAAATATGGCGTTCAATTATGACAGCTCAAATCTTTTTTGCTTGCGAGATATGGTGATTTTTTAGGCTTTTTTCATTTTTTTTTCAAAAAAATTCAAGATATAAAATAAAATAACGGAGCTTGAAGTTCTCAACCCTATAGTGGAGTACTGTCAGCATACACTCAGGAGTTGCGATTCTGGCGTCCAAGTATGACTGCTCAATTTTTTTTTGGTTTTCGTGATATGGCGTTTTTATGATTTCTTTTTTAGCTTAAAAAACTTAGATATGAAACAAAATTTATGGAACTTGAAATTCTCAATCCTGTAATTGTGTGCAGTCGGGGTACACTCAGAGATTGCATTTCTTCTCTACAAATTCGACTGCTCAATGTTTTTTGGTTTTTGAGATGTGGGCTTTTTTATTTTTGTTTCAAAACACTTGATTTAAAAATCTAACCGATCTTGAAATTCTCAACCATAATGTGGGCCTTCTGTCATGTTATATTCAGGGGGTACTGTCAGGGTTCAAATCAGGAGGTTCTGTCAGAGCTTCTGCCTTTTAATATCAGGGTACCAATCAGGGGTAATATAGGGCCTCTAACTTTTACTGCTCAAATCTTTCTTGTTGCCTAGAAAGGCGTTTCTCATGATGTTTTCAATACCTTACAAAAAAATTGTAGATTTAAAAACAAGTTAAATAACTTGAAATTCTTAACCCTATGGTAAGACGCAACCAGAGAACAATATAACATAGCAAATTCGCCCTTTAATTTTTTCTGCTCAAATCGTTTTGGTTTTCGAGATATGGCGTTTTTTATGAAAAAGAAACCTCCTTGTATATGAGCCCAGTTTAACTTCACGGTTGAATTAAATTAGGGTCACTTGAATCTCACTGTTTTAAAAAATGTCTTAGAAAGCTGCAAAAAGTTAGTTGTTAAATTTTGCTCTCCAAATACGAACGTGGAAATGAAGCGAACGAAACGTGAATGACTTCTAGTGTGATTTTAATTATAGGACTTCCCAGCGGAATCAAAATTTCGTCTTTTGATCCAGGTTTCTCAAATTGAGTTATTTTTTTTTCAAAAAGTAAAATCAATCATAAATTCGTCTTAGTTCAAAGAGCATGAAAGCCATATTTGTTTTTTCAATTCGGAAGCTGGAGATTTCCAAAAAAGGTCAGTTCTTTTTTCTGTTTCCTTGCGTTCATTGACTCTTTTCTAACTGTCTGTTGGCTATGATTTCCTTTTTGTTTTTCACGCAAAACCAGAAGATTTGTTTCTTACTACAAATGCTTTTTGGATTGGATTGAGTGATAATCATATCAAAACCCTTGCAGTCATGACTTGAACATGAAAATATGTGGAAAAAGGTTTCCTAGTGTCGAGAAAAACGGATTTTTATTTTTGACTTTCAGTCTTTTTTCGAGCGACAAAGCGAGCTAGCAGGCTTTTTATAGAAGCATACACATGACGTGAAATTTTTATTGAAGCCCTGAGAATTAAATTTTACTCCATTATGACAATTGAGTCTGCGTAAGTTGTAGCCTTTTGTTCAGATCTTCTCAATACCCCACGCGCAAAAAAAAGCAACATCGATTTGAAAAAAATTGTGCCATAAAACACAATGGTTGTTCTACAGAATGGTTGAGCGAAATAAAAATATTTTTTGCTCGTCAAAAAGTTAAATCCTGAAAAATTTAGATTTTTTAAATAGTGTAATAACAGAAGTTGCTTTTGCCTATGTTTCAAAGAGGCGTTTCTTGGCCAAAAAATAGTTATTTCATTCTTGACAAAAATTGCCGCTTATAGTATAATTAAATCCAGTTTTCTCAAACAAAATTGTGTTCACAGAATTTATTCATCATCATCATAAACTGAAATACACAAACAGTACTGATTATAAATACAGCAACAAAAAATGAACAGAAACATGCAACTAACTGATAGAATCAGAACATAGAAACAAGAAAGTTGTTCCCGCGCTGCATCTGTTCAGTTTCAGAGTGAGGTGTCGTTGAGAGTACTCTTCTCTTGTGTTGAGCTGTGACCTTGGGCTCAACTGCGCAATGTAGATAGCTTCCAACGACCACAGTTTGTCTGAGAAGCGAGTCTTGTCTAAGATCTTGACAGACATGACAGAAAATGCTCCCCCAGCGGAGATGTTCGTCGGAGGCGCTCAGATAGCCGAGTGGTGAAATTTCGGCCAATTTTGTCAACATAGCTGGTCCCGCAGCCAGAACAATCAACTTGATAAACCACTCCACTACTGAGCATAGGTGGCACTTTGCTCTTCAAAGATGGCAGCGAGTTCCGTAACGTTTGTGTTATAAACACTAATGGGACATCAGTGACCTTTCTCATTTTCTTAGAGAATCTGTCTGATATACCACCACGATACTCTAAGAACAAAGTTTTCCGGGATTTCTGCCTCTCATCACTTCGCTCCCGAGTTTCTTCTTTCGCTTCTGAGCCCAGTATCTTCGTCAGCGTC